CCCCTGGGGAGTGTGTCACGTAGGGGTAAGTGAATTTTTTTCCTATTTCAGTTTTAGATCTCGAGTTAAACAATTACAAAGAATTTTCTCAGCGTGGTTCTCATTCTGGTGCAGTCTTCGCTCTAGTACACATCCCTTCTTTGTCAGCGGAATGCAATCTGTACAGCTATGCAAGTAACTCGTGGGCTCCCTCCGCAGTGACTTAGTTTCTACAAGCTATGCAGGATATGTTGGTTCCATGCAAGGTGGAGGTAGTCGTTATCAGAAACGCATTCGGAAGCAAAACACCAGTTCTGCTTATGACTCTATCGCTCATGATTTAGTGAAAACTTGATTTTCGGAGTCGCAAAGCTTGATTCCAGGCAATTAAATGTGATGGGCAAGCTCTTCCACTTATGCTTTGGACTCCAACAATCTAGTTTTCACAGGATCAAAAACGGCAGACTTGTAAACGGAATCGGAAGAAATGGAAACGTTCTGACTTTTCCGACTCCGATTCCGTCAAGCTTATGACTTCGCTTACGACTCCCATTTTCGATTTTCACTAGGCCATTAAGGCGAATAAACGCCCCGTCGTTAGTGATAAGAAACACTTAGTGACTCGCCCTAGTAGAAACAGTGAGTTTTGTTTCTCCGAGACCCTCCCTCGAGGGGAAACAAAACTCACTGTTTCCCGTGGGGCCAGTCATTAGAGCGTGGTTCACACTTGTGGCATAAGCGTAACACTAGTGAAATAAGCAAGCTCCCACTTGTGAGATAAGCGTAACACTAGTGAAATAAGCACAAGAAAAAGAAACGTTCCTTTTTTCTTGTGCTTGCGCCTATGCTTATTTCACTTGTGTTGTGCTTACCTCACAAGTGGGAACCCGGTTTAAGTGTTTTGTTTTCCCAATTCAAAAATAGGAAAACAACTGCGAAAAAATAAATTGCTAGAGCCGGCTGGCTAACAAATTTGCCGCGTCTTCAAGGTGCACGACCTGATCACGTGCAAGTCCAAAGTTCAAGTTGTTGTTTCCCTAGGGAGTTAGTGAGGTTTGTTCGCGCTAGGGAGTAAGTGAGTTTTGATCCGGCCATGACACGTGACACGTTCACTTCCAATCGGAAAGCGTATTTGCGTTGGGAGGTGTAACAATCACCCTTGAGCGATATGTTGGGTTTTGCAAGTGGATTGATATAAACAACACTTACCGTCTGGCTTTACGTCATGGCATATCCCATCATTCAGGCATGGTTTGTCCGCGCATCTTTTTTTACTCATGATCTGACTCTTGAAGATCGGCGAGTACTCCGCTCCAAGCTGGACGTCGATGGACACAAACGTTAACGAGTTGTCTGGCGCAGGAAATTGACCGTAATCACCGCTGATAACTGTGAATGTGTTGTAAGCCTTCACTACGTTCTGGCAAACACCAGTTTTGTTGGTTTCCTTAGCGCAACTGTCAATACCTAACGCTCCAATGGTTAAACCTGTAATTCAACGAAATGCAGTGATGCAAATATTGAACTTTCCCGCTTTTAGACACTGTCTGGTATAACCCAGGAGCCGAACCTGATAGACTTTCATTCTGATTGGTTGATCATGAGTAACCCATCAGAGGCTTCCCATGGAAAGTTAGTGACACCCAGAGTGCTCTGTTGGAAATTTACGAATCTTATTGGTTATCCCTAATCTGAAATCCTGCCTATGGAAAACAGTTAAACTTCAAACCCGGCGTCGTTTTTTCAGAGGGATAATTAACTCGAATGCGGCTCGTTCACTACTCATTCGCAGAAATGAAGCCTCGTAGTCCAATTGTTAAATACAACACCTAGTTGCACCCACTCGATGATTTAAAATAATTTAAAATTACGGAAAAGTGGCAAACAAAACCATAAAGAAGGTTGTGGATCAGTTCTAGGTCTAATAAGTCATCCGTTGCGTAGCCATCTCCAGTATAAAGCATTAGCTTGTTGACCCTCGGTTTTCATCAGCCTAAAGAAATCTTGACCCTGAGGTCAAATTCTTAATTATTTCCTTCACTATATAAATTATAAAGCTATTCAAAATAACGTTCATTAATAATTTTACCGATTTTTTCAAGGGAAGCTCCCTTTTCATTCAGAATCACCAGGACCTCTGTCGAGGGCATGTACTCCACTGCAAACTGCACGTTGATAGCTTGGGGATTCTCTAAATCTGTTTGAATGCTGAAGATAAAAACATCGTACGGGAACACGACGTCGCCGTCTGCTTGATATATGAAAATCTCCTCCAAGGTTTCTTGGAGTCTAGAATAGTAATCACCAACAAGAATAGCTTCTTCGTGGATGTTCACAAACTGCACTGTGGTACTCATAGACACAGTCGTCTCTGAGATATTCCGAACAATGACGTTTACTCCAGAATACGCATCCTTAAGCTTCGATGCACCCTTTCTGTTTTTTTCTTTTATGTGAACAAAAAGCCCATAGGTACCCATTGGGATGTCTCTTTGCGCTGATAAATGACCAGTGTTTGCGTCGATATTGAAGTAAACTCCTGGGTTTTGGGTCAGAATCTTGTAGCCATTTTCGTCCACTTCAAAGTCGTTGTCTTTATAGTAAACCTTTCCTATGTCACCGCCTTCAAAACGTCCGTGAAAGGCGTTCAAAATAATCGTCATCGTGGCATTGAAAGGTTCGTTGTTGTTCTCGGAGTCTTTAACCACTATGTAAACCACGGTAATATTGCTCATGGCCGGGTTACCACTGTCCGTTACTTGCACCCAAAGCTTCCATTCACGCTTGATTTCGTAACTGAACTCGTATCTCTCTGAGGAATAGATTTCCGCCGTGGTGCTGGTCTTAGAACTAGGCTCTATGTAGAAATTCCCGTTGACAGTGCCATTGAGTATCTTGTAATCAAACGGGGGTCCGTTCCACGGTTCATCAGGGTCATAGGCATTGAGTTTAACAACAAACTGCGGTGCCTTAACCTTTTCCACAATACTTCCTAAGTAAAGAGGCGGGACAAAATGCGGTCCGTTGTCGTTAACATCTAGTACTGTTACTGTCACGACGCAAGTGGCAAAGAGACCGTCTGCATCTTCCGCTTGTATCTCTAATATATAACCATCAACGGCCTCTCGATCCAGTCTGGCTGTTGTATACAAGATTCCCACACTAGAATTATTCGGATCCGGCCTGACATCAAAGATATTGGCAGGGTCTCCAAACAGCACGGTAAACCAGAGCCTCGTTTGAATGCCCTGATCGATATCTGTAGTTACTAGGCTTAACAAAGAAGTTCCAATGGCCACGTCTTCTTTAACAGAAATGGTGTACTCATCCGGCTGAAACACCGGGGGATGATCATTTGCGTCAAGTATGGTGATCAACACCGTCGCAAGCTCCAAAGAGGTCTGCTGAGGCATGCCTTGGTCCGATACATTTATTTTCAGGGTGTAACTCGGTATTGTTTCATAGTCTAACTCCCCTGAAACCAAAATCTCGCCAGTAGCAGGTTTGATGTAAAATGCGTAAGGTTCGTTTCCGGAAACGATCGTAAATTCTAACCGAGCGTTGTAACCAATATCTTCGTCCGAAGCATTTACTTTTGTGACGAAGAATGCAGGATATGCATTTTCAGGAACAGATGCCCTGTACTCCAGGGGATTAAACTTTGGCCTGTGATCGTTTGCGTCTTCTACTCTAATAGTGACGAGCGTTGTTCCACTAAGTGGGTTTACTGCTTTATCTGTCGCCCTAACGGTGATGTTGTACTCGTTGGACTTGCCTTCCCTGTCAAAGGTCATGGTGTTGGTAATGAGGCCAGAATCTTCGTCAATTACAAATCGACCATTACTATCGTCATCCAAGGAGTAGGTTAGGTCGGTGTGCCCGCCACCCGCACTCGGGTCATCCTCGTCAACAGCCTGTACCACGATCACACTTGTGCCCGGTGGCTTGTTTTCTTCAATTGTACCGATGTAGGGTGGATTTGGAAAGTATGGCGCTTCGTCGTTGATATCGAGTACCACAATCTGAAGGAAAGTATAAAAATCATGGTGTTACTATAAAGTAGTAACGTTTTCCCCACATAAAATAAAGGTAAAAATTATGGAGAAGTTACAATTTCAAAGCTAAAGGATTTGACGGTAACTTCTTGCTTCCCAAAATGTAAAATTGCTAACTTTGAGTTGTGTCCGCATATATAAGTGCATAGCGCGTCATTAACAATTTCACGCACGTGTAGCGCTCGGGCATCAAGAAAATGATTACTTTTCCTTTCTGCTTTTTCTTTTCGTAATCTTCTTTTTCTGTCTCTCTTTTTCTTTTTCCAAGGCTTAGCTTACCAGAGATATAGACCATCATCCTCTGGAGCATTGCTCACCAAAATAAACATTTGAAGTTCGACCATGATAACCTCACCTTAATTCCAGCCACTCCAGTCCTTTCTTCCCCATCAGACGCTTTAACATCGAAATACAACACGGGAGTTTTCTCTCTATCGAGTAGTATTTGACTTGTTCTTAACTCTCCAGTCTTCGTTCCAATCGTGAAATACATGTCATCCAGTTCGTCTAACGAGTAGGAGATGCTATTTGAAGGGGTGTCTACATCTGTGGCGGTTACACTGAGCACGAGCTTGTTCGCGGGAGTACCTTCCACTACAGATGCGTCATACCGGAGCTGAGTAAACACCGGGGCATTGTCGTCGACGTCAAGGACCTAAACATCAGTTAAAATAGACTCAAAACACCCCAAGTTCCTTTTAGTTCTCTTGGCGAAAGAAAAGAACTAATGAAATTTAGAAGTAATATATCAAACACGAAAGACCATGTTTGACCACATTTCCAAACACCAAAAGAGAGAGTTGGAAATACGACGCGCAGCGGAGTATTTCTGATGAACTTCGATGTGTTTGGAAACGTGGTCAAGCAATGTCTTGAGTGCTTGATATATCTTCACAATCGAAACTAAAACTAAGGAGAAAACGGGGATATAAAATCGTCAAAATCTATGCCAATTTAGATCAGATATCCAAACACTGTCACGGTACTGATTTTCTTTGTTTAAACTTGAAAGATTGAAACTGGTAGACGTGATCAAATTCCAAGGGTTAACAAACTCTGCCCTATTTCTAAATCTACTGAATCAACTTGAAGATGAATCTCACTTTCTTATATACCGCATTAAATACTCTATTCTACGGAATGAACTTTAAAGAAATATAGAGAATATCATTCCGGCTTTTAAACAATTATCTTCATTACAACCAATCGGCGAACTTATGACTTTTGACATTCAATTAGCAAAACTAATTTCATCTCGCTTTGATCTACGAAATATTCGTCTTTCAAATCAAACCGATGTAACTTGATTGCTATACGATAACCTTATTATATGTTCACCAAAATCATTACTGTTTAAGTTTACAAAAGCTTTTGCAACACTGAACGTATTTATGGTCATGCAAATATAGCCAGTTGTTGCTGTTGTCGACCTGGAGCCATTTGGCGTGTTAAAATCTAAGAATGCAGCCGTTAGTATTATCCCATGTACTCGGAATCAGATCTCACAGAAATTACTTGTCAGAGAAGAACGTATTCGAACTTTCGTCTTTGTCTCTGTTACTGTTCAGAATTTTGAAGGCAGCAAGGGGCACTGGTTTGCTTTTCTTTGGTTTTTAATTTGTACTTCTTAAGTACAAATGAATTCGAATTACGCGCCCCAAAAAATTAGAATTATAGAATCTTTTAGAGGTTTCTTTCAAAATTTCACCGGAGATCCTCGCAACCTCTCTTATGAAGGAGTGCCCCCCAGTTAATACATACCCAGTTGCTATGTTTTATGTGATCAGTGATAAGAGGTGGTCATTAAATTGAATAAAAACTTAAAAATAAGCCATGCAACTCTATTTAACCATTTCCTCACATTTGGGTGTCAAAAAGGCTGAGAACTAAAACAGATTTAACAACTGACTTCATTTGTTTACCTCACTTTTCAGGTACTAGTTTTTAACGAATGACATCTACAATCTTAGTATGGTTTAAAAATTTGGAAAAAATACCATAATGCAAAAGTCAGGCTTACTTTGATGATCACGTTTGCCGGCGATGGACTATTCCTCCTGCCGTCCGTAGCAATGATCTTCAGTTTGTATTCCTTGGTCGTTTCATAGTCTAACTTGTTGTCCACAACAAGCTTTCCCCCAGTCGTCAAGTGAAACGCGTGAGCTTGATTTCCATCGGAGATGTAAAATTCCGTCTTCGTGTTGACACCGAAGTCACTGTCTTTTACAGTGAACTCGTATACAACTTTGCCCACAGGGACGTTTTCCTTAACAGTGAGCGAGTAGTCAGTTGGCTCGAACTTCGGGCCATTATCGTTGTCGTCAACTACTATGATTTCGATAGAGACTCCTCTTTTATTCGGGGAAACTCCGTTATCACGAGCTACACAGGTAATCAAAAACCGTTCTTGGTCTTTAGTCTCTCGGTCAAAGAGCTGAGTGGTTCTTATAACTCCAGTGTCGCGATCGACGGTGAAATACGGACTAAATGGGTCAATGGAGTATGTAACTTTTCCACCATCTCCTGTGTCTACATCGTGGGCTTGAATGCGAAGGACTTCAGTGTTTGGGGGAGAATTCTCAAGAACTCTGCCCTCGTACCAAGCAGCCCCGAAAATAGGCGAGTTGTCGTTGACATCTGTCACATTTATTAGCACGAGACACGTGGAAATAAGGTCAGTGATGGTGTCTTTAGCGAGAAACTGCATTCGGAATACCGAGTGTTCTTCGTAATCTATAGCCTTACCGCCAGTTGTAATCACTCCAGTGTTCGGGTGGATGTTGAAGTACTCTCGGTCTTTTTGAACTTTCCGGTTGTCAGATAAAACCTGGTAGCTCACCTGGTTCTGGGAAACGGCTTTGATTTGAAGGATGCTGGTACCTGACAATAGAGCACAAATTATGTAGTGAAGTGACTAGGTGATCTTCGAGTTGTTTTGATATATGTGTTGAAGCAAATTCGTTCGTCTAATTCTTTGTACCGAAAGTAGAAAGTAAGGTGAATTGCCACATGTCAGCCTAGGATCAATCTCGTTCCCAGAGTCTTCGTTCCCCTTGACCAGCGGCCGGAGAACGAGAGCTCAGGGAGCAACAATTTCAGGCATGCGCCATAGATGCAGACTGCGCAGTGAAACCGGATGGGCAGAATTCGGTTATTTCAAAATGGTTGCTCACAGAGCTCTCGTTTTCCGACCGCTGGTCAAGGAGAACGAAGACTCTGGGAACGAGATTGGCCTAGGGTATGTCAGCCTTGCGTGTAATTTCAAGTAAAGTGGAATCCCGCATCTCAAACTTTTAAAGAAACAACAAAAAGTTCCAGATAGAGGTGATCGAGATCAGGCCGATAGCTGAGAGTTCGAGATAGTGAGATGTCCAACTGTAACTTTCTTGGTAAATTCTCACCTTCGTTGTTGTCACGGAATTTTTTATTTCACAGAATTTTTAACAAAACTAACTTACTGCATTTTGTGAATGGCAAGTGGGACGCAGCATTTTCAACGAGAGTCGCGGTCAAAGCCACGTTCCCAACTCCATTCACAAGTTTTTTATCATGAGTAATTCAGCTTTATAATAAGTAATTCAGCTTTATAATAAATAGGATGCATTGCATTTCAATTTGATCGAGAGAGCATGAGAAGCAATGGGGTTTCTCCCACTCATAATTGGCCTTTTTTAAAACGTTATCATCGTCAATTTATTTTTAAATCAATTAAATTGGTTTTGGTTTACCACGGTTTGAGATTGGCTGGGTAGAGCAGTTTTCATTTGAGTATCGTAAAACCAAAACCCAATCAATTACTTACCAATTAGACTACTCAGCCAATCTCAAACTGAAGTAAAACCAAAACCCAAACCAAAGTAATTGCCTGATTACTTTCGACACTCAACTGAAAACCGTTGAAGTCCAATTGGTAAGTAATTGGTTTGGTTTTGGTTTTACGACACTCAATCAAAAACTTCTCTACCCATGGTACACACGAGCCACACACGCGTGTCATTATTTTGAAATTATAAGGTCTAAAAATATTAGAGGTAACAAAGAAGGAGCAATATGCATGGGTGAGGATTGCTAATTATATTCTACAAAAAAGCGTCTTTTTTCAAGATGTGCATTCTATGACGTTGCTACCTCAAATCTTTTGACTAAAGCTCAGCTGCAAATTTGAGTTGTAACCTTAATTTAGTGATCACAGATTACCTGTAGGTGTATTTTCGGTGAGCGTTGTGGTGTATATTTGCTTGGTAAACTTAGGAGGCTGCAGATCCGAAATGTAGATCTCAATCGTTGCACTGCGCAATTCAGGATCTACATCACCCACAGTCATAGGCTCCGTATTTGACGCGACGACCGACGAAGTTATCATTGTTCCTGTAAAAGACTGCAACGATACTTTGGTCGATATGACACCCCGGTCAGAGATCTTGAGTAGATCGTCAGGGTTCAAGTGGTATTCCACTTTTCGGTTCTCACCAGAATCGGGATCTAATGCGTGGACAGTCATGATGGAAGTCCCTACTACAGCGTTCCGTAAAACACTCCCCGTGTACGTTTTAATACTGAAGTAAGGATAGTTGTCATTTACATCTTCGATTGTTACTTTCAGAACGCAATATCTGAGAAGTCGTTCCTTTGCTGGGCGCCCATGACCACCGTCCTCAGCTGCGATAACAATCCTGTATTCAGGTCTCTTTTCGCGATCAAATTCCACGGTACTTGTTAATTCGCCGGTGGAATTATCAATATCAAAAAAAGATCTCTGGTCGGCGTTCACGATACTGTATTCCACCTCTCCGTTTTTACCTCGATCCTTGTCGGTAGCCAGAACCTGAGTCACCAGCTGTCCGGGAGGAAGATTCTCTCTAACTTTGGAATCCTCGCACTTTTCAAACACTGGGCGGTTGTTGTTCTCGTCCTTGATGTAAATGATAACTCTGGTGTCGCTATAGCTCCCATCCGGATCGCTCGCTCGGATGGTGTAAGTGTACTCCCAAGGGGTGCTTGGAATACTTTGCCTGACGGATATAATCCCTGTCTTGGAACCTACTTGAAAAGGACCGCTCCCGGCAATGATCGAATAGCTAATGTCAACATGGTCAGCGTCTTCGGCCACAACTGCTCCTATTCCAGTTCCGTCTGGTGCATCTTCGTAGACAGAAAACCTGTACTCTGAATTTTCAAACTGGGGCGGATTGTCATTCGAGTTAGTCACAGTTATGTTGACATACGCCAGGGCGACATGCGTCACATTTCCCAAAGTATCAGAAACCTGCACTTGAAAGATGTGAATCTGCTGGCTTTCGAAATCTAAAGACCTAGCCGGCGATATAACGCCAGTTTCTGGATTAACGGTAAACATCTCGGTTTTTTGGACGGAGTACTCCAGGTGCTCTTGTGGACAGCTACCGTCCTGACCACAGTCACCATCTGTTGCACGTACTGTCAATATGGGGCTTCCTATAGGCCAATCCTCTGCTATTGTCCTTGCGTAATCTCCCCTTTCAAACACAGGGTAATAATCATTAGCATTCAGCACAGAGACTTTTACTTTCACTCTGGAGGAGAGACCCGTGGTTATCAACTCTACTGCTTGCACCAGCAACTCATATTTCATCGCTTGCGTTTCGTAGTCCAGGAGAGAGTTCAGCCTTACCTCACCGTTACCAGTGATTTTGAATTTTTTATCCGGGTCACCTTTCACAATGGTGTATCCCACTCTGCTTCCTGAGGCACTCACAGCTTCGACTTTTCCTATTGTTGTTCCAACTTTGGCGTCCTCTGGCACCTCAAACCTGTAACCATCATCGTCGAAGTCAATAAATGTCGGAGGAGACTGGCTTACATCCACTCGCACTTTAACAGGTAAGTTCTCGCGTCGAGGTATCCCAAAATCGAACGGACGTAACTCTAGGTCGAATTGAGATTGCGTAAGAGGAGGATTGCCAACTACAATAGTATCGTCCTCCGGGTTGATACCGAAAGGAGTGTTAGCAGTCATTAGCTGATAACCTGCAAGTCCATTTGGACCGGAGTCTGGGTCAGAAACTTGCAGTTGGAGCACCACAACACCTACCCGTGAGTTTTTATTAACTCTCCCGTGTCTTCGCCGCATTTCAAACCTGGGGTTATTATCGTTTACGTCTACGACGGATAATTCTAAGTCAATGTCGTTGACGATCGGACCCGTCGACGCAAAACCTTCTTCCCGAACTGTCAAAGCGTGCGTAGTTCGAGCTTCGAAATCAACCTCTTTCGCAAGTCGAACTTTTCCGTCTTCGTCCACAGTGAAATAGGTTTTCTCCGGATACAAAATCGACATCTTTCCTCCAGGAATGTATCTGGGAACCACGGCTATCACTTTGCCCTCAGGCGTGTCTTCTCGCACCCTCACGGCCAGGGCCTCTTGACCTGCTTGGTACCTAGCAAATGCTAGACGTACAGGTGCTGTTACAGAATTCGGGGGAGTGGCACTATCAGTAGCTGTCACCTCAAATGAGAGTGACGACAGAGGATCAGTAGACCGCTTGCCTGGAACACTGTCTTTCAATGTTCTCTTAGCGCGAAGAACGGCCTGGGTGTCAATAGTAAAGAACGCCTCCCCCTCAGTAGACAGCTTGTATTCCAAGAAAGCCTCGTCATCGAGATCGTCCGCTTCTATTCGAGTCACCTCTTCACCTTCAAGGATTCCTGCTTGCACTCTATATTCCATTAATTTGTCGGTAGAGTCTATATAATCGATGAAAAATGGATCGTTGTCATTGATGTCTTTAACGTTGATGGTAACATTTGCTTCCGCAGTTCGGCCCTTGATGTCCCGAGCTATCACTTGCAGCTTGTACTGAGAAGACTTCTCGCGATCCAGCTCCCCCGCTGTCACTAAATCGCCGGAGGAAGAATCAATTTTAATAACGCCATCCTCGTTTCCTGACAGTATTTGATACCTGAGAAACTCTGTGGTTGCTGCAGCCACAGACAGAAATGCACGGCAGGCAGGAATTCCCTCATCGACATCGAAACTCAGCGAAGGATCTGGGTACTTTGGGGGTCCGTCGGGAGGGAAAACATTCACCAGCACTTGAGCCTCATCTTTTTTATTTCGATCGTTTTCGTCGTAGGCTTCCACAGTTAAAGTAAACTTGTCTTGCGCGGCGGACGCAAGTGACTTACTGCCCAGGCTGATACGTCCGTTGGCACTGTTGATCGCAAAAATACCGTCCTTATCGCCTTTTGTGATACTGTAGTATATCAGGCCGTTAAGGCCACTGTCCAGGTCTGTTGCCGACAGCTGGACCACGTGATCTCCCTGTTTAGCGTCTGCTGGTATCGAGGCTTGATAGGAAGAAGTCGAGAACCTTGGTAGGTTATCGTTAACATCCGTGACTCTGATAATCAGCTTGACCATATCTGAAAATACGAACGATATTGAATGTTTTTATTTTCGTTTGTACAGTGTTCAAGGAATATTTATATGCATTTTGAACAATTCTCCTCCCTACGGCTATCTGGATTTGTTCTCGGTAGTCCCGAGTTCAACTCCTCCACCGAGTTGTGTAAATAGCCAACTGGTCAGCCTCCAAGCAGTTGGGATTCTTAATAGTTTATGTTCTATTTGCATTCATTGTTTATTTATTCACAGTGTCCCCAATTAGCACAACAGTGCTAAAAACATTTGACACTTAAATAGCTTTTTATTTTATCTTATTTCCCTTAATGAGGACTAGAATGAATGAATAAATGGATGAATGATGAGTCGATGAATGACTCACTGATCGACTAACTGACTGAGTGACTGGCTGGCCGATTGGCTGACTGGCCGACTGGCCGACTGGCCGACTGGCCGACTGGCCGACTGGCCGACTGGCCGACTGGCCGACTGGCCGACTGGCCGACTGGCCGACTGGCTGGCTGGCCGACTGGCTGACTGGCTGACTGGCTGACTGGCTGACTGGCTGACTGGCTGGCTGGCTGACTGGCTGACTGGCTGACTGGCTGAGTGAGTGACTGAATGAATGAATGACTGACTATGGAAGCTGAACTTATTGGCTAAGAGGACATTCTCATTCTGAACTGAGGATTATCGCGTGATCCTTGCCCATAAGAATTTTACCAAGTGACCTATTGTGAACAATCAGAAGGACACCCTACCGGTTCATCACTTACCACTTAACTGAGGAGTTGCGTTGTCTTGCGCCATAATAAACAGAATATGTTTGGCGGCCTTTTCGCGATCCAAGGATTTCTCGAGAGTGACCATGCCGGTGTTGGCGTCTACTGCAAAAAGATCAGTGCTGTCACTCCTAACAGTCTGTAGAATGGAGTATGTCACCCGGCCATTCTCGCCCTTATCCTGGTCAGTGGCTGTCAGTAGTTTCAAGTTGGAGCCGACGGCTGCGTAGATGGAGGAATTAAAACAAGAAGCGTAAGAATGCGACTCGTAATACTAACAATTTTTTTTTTCATTTTGCTATGATTTGTAATGCCAGAGGGAACTGAGAGGAGGACAATTTTCGTTATTAATGTGCGGTGGTGCTAGTGAGAATTTGCAACATATCGTGGCCATGTACTGGTAGGGATAATATCATGCATTAATTTTGCAATGGAGTAGGCTAGATTCAGTAGTGGTTCCAGGAATTTCAGTTTGAAATCTCTCAGATATGGTACCGGAAACATTTTTCTTAGGCATGGCTCAAATCCTCTCTCCTGTCCCTAAGAGATGCCAAGATAACCAGCTTTATATACCGTCAAAGGCTGGTTATAAGCTCGTGGCTTGGATAACTTCGTACGACCTTTTGGTGGGTTCATAAACTTGATGAACGTATACCGGGACACTTACACAGCTTTTGTTATGAGTGGGATAATGAGCTGAAAAGAAACGACTTAGGCCCCGTCTACATTACACTAGAGATATTTGAGGACGCAACTTTATTTCTCCGGTTAGACCTGCTGTCCACACTAATCCGTCAGGAAATCGGACCTTCTCGACAACACTCTCCAAACGGGAGGAGTTTGAAAACGCCAGCTTTGCATTTTTGTGTGGAAGGAAAACATTTTGAATACAGAATACATTATGGTCATTTTAAACAAGAGCTTCTATTTAAGGTCCCGGGGAGGTACTCCCTTATATGGGCTGTATAGAGATGTGCGGCCCCAAAGTGTATGGCTTTTCAGCCGTTTTGGCCATAAATAGGGTATCGATTTCGGTCATTTTGGTCTCAAGTAGGGTATGGTTTTTTCACTCTAGTCTTGATTTGGGTATGCTTTTTAGGAGAAGTTACTTTTTCATCATTATCGACAAGACCATCATCAAAAGCCCTTCATAAATTATATTTAGGGCAACTCTGCCAGCCGCAACGGTCATAAATAGGGTGCTGAATTTTTGTTCAGTCATAAATAGGGTGGGGGAAAATCACAGATTTTGGTCAAAAATAGGGTAAGGGTTTTGGGGCCGCATACCCGCACCAAATGTTTCTTGGAGTACCCCCGAGTTTAAATTACAGCTTCACTGATACATATATGTATACAAAAACAGCATGAAAGATATTCGGCGTGATAAATCGCTAAAGGTAGTAAATTATAGCTTAAAAGGTATCGCCTAAATGGACTCACTCCACGTGTTTAATCCCAAATGCAAAATAGGAAGACTTCAAGTTGGTATTTTTTGCTGCTTTTTCCATGATGGCAAGTTTTGACTTGTGCCATTAATATTCGGATCGACTAAGCTGATTTGTCGCAATGTTACAAGATCAGGCCGCGCGAGTTTGGGAAACAACATCCAAACTATTTACAGAAAATGCGAAAGCGATAAACGGGCCTGCCACTTTGTGTCACTAGGATGCTAAGTGACACGAAGCAAAGCATTTTCGTGGTGCATTGTTCAATTGACAACGTCGGGAGACCTCTGGGCGTTGCAAAGGCGGGAGGGTTGTAAAATTGGGAAACTCTTTTAAGATATCTGTTGAAGTGGCACTGTACCTGTGATTTGAACTAAGTAAGAAATTCAAGAATTAACCGATTACAATATAAACATTCTATTGATAAACATTTATTTTTAACAACAAACCTTGGTTTTCCGGAATCTCCATTTCAACAATGGACTTCCCAAAGGAAGGTGCATGATCATTAGCGTCCCTCAAGGTAACCTTGACAACGGTAGTATCGTTCTTGTTATCAAGGGACACCATAACCAAGAGCTCGTACGAAGGCACCTTCTCGCGATCCAGGGGCTGGGCCACACTTATTATGCCCAGGTAATCGATGCAGAACATGTTTTGTGAGTTGCCTTTGATGAAGGAATACTTTAAGAGGGCAGTAGAGTCATCATACACTGCTGAGACGTCGATGACACTGGTACCAACCTTGCTGTTCTCACTGATGGTTTTGACGTATTCATCTTGCCTGAATGTTGGGGGTCTGCTGATGTCTAGGACTCGTATGTCAATAGCCGTTGCACTGATCCTTCCGCCTCCATCTTTAGCTCTCACCACCAAGGAGTAGCTGTTTCGCTCTGAAAATCTGATTACCAAAGACAGAGTGTCACGCACGACTTCTAGAGACTTACAGCTCATTGTATTCCACTGTTATTTTTTAGGATTTGAAATTTCACTGTATGGTCCTGTATATATTTAATCCTTAGTGCTGACGTTTAGTTAATAGTTAATTAGTGTGTATCAGATGATAGAAAATTTTCAATGTTTTAGATTTTATAACCTTGTAAATTATGTAAATCTTTGTATTTTAGGAATACATGTACGTATATATTTTAAACGAGCTTGTACAGCTCTTAGACGTGACATTTCTAAATAAACTATTGTATTGCATTGCATTGTATTGTATTGTATTGTATTGTAAGGGTCTGAACTGAGTGCGAGCGAACATGCGACTCATTCCGGTTACCTTAAATGTTACAGTCTGTTAAGCCTCGATAGCATCTGGTTAGACTAAATAGCTCCCCCAACCCCCCAGATAATGGGCTGGCCTGTGAGCTTGTGGTAAGCCTTTTTGTTGGGGTTAGGGATTGGGGTTAGGGATCCTGGCTCTCATGGCCCGCATGCTTAACTTGTTAGCTCGCTGGCTCGCTGGCCTACTGGCTCGCAAATTGTCCACCCTCGAGAACTAGCAGGAATCCTCAAGGCGTATGTTTTCACAAAAAAGATACGTTTATCGTGAAGAGAGAGGGTCGATCCCCGAAAAGAGAGAAGCAAAGCTTGCGGATAATGTAACGAGTCGAGTCAAAAACAAAACAAAACAAAACAAAAAAAATTAAGTGAGTGTTTTCGAGCTTTCATACGATAACTTAATTATTATATGACTAGGAAAATTGCGAACACGCGGGCGTTAATTTGCACTGCATTGCAAATTAACTAAATTTACGATCCAATCACAATGAAGTAATTTTCGCAGTCATATAATAAAGCTACAGTTGAACCCCGCTATTTCGAACCCTTCAGGAGAAACGAAAAATAGTTCGAAATAGCGGGCGATGTCGAAATAACCGATCACGGCAAATGACTGAACTGAGGGCAAATGCAAGGGTAATGACTCAAGTTGAGTTCGAAATAACGGAGAATTCGAAAAAACCGAGTTCGAATTAGCGGGGTTCAACTCTATTTTCAAGTTGAAACGTGCTAAAATTATGATCGTCTCAAATTCTACACAGTGTTTTTAGAATTGTTTGAATGTGCTATCAATGGAACTGCGACCTTCTCGAAACAGATAATGCCCGGGGACAAATATCCGAGCACATTTTGGCGCCAAATGGAGGCTATTGTTTATATACAAACATAAATACCTACATACATGATTTCTCTGTTGGTTCTGATAACGCCCGTATTCAGATCGATCGAGAATGGAATGTTAATGGTGGGAACACTTCCTGGCTTGTAAATACTGTACGTCACCGAGCCTGAGGTTCCTGTGTCCTTATCTGTTGCTTTCACCTACAGGAAAATAAAACAACGCATCAGTGCAAACTATGAGTTGACGAGAATAAATGATCACAGAAATGTATGGATGCCAATAAGGAGAATTTATATGTGCACATCAGAGCTTAACCCTCACCCTACTAACATATTTTACATACAGATCATACCAACTGGGATCTAGTTGGACTCCGTGAAAAAATGTTCTAAAATGCTAACTTTTGGAAAATCAATGTTGATTATACTTCCATTTGGTAATGCAAATATTAAAATAGCTCCTTGAAATTTAAGGAGAGTGTTTACGTGTCAATTAGACAAACATGCTTAGGCAATTCAATTGTCCAGTACTTCACTCAGTACACTTGAATTTTCCTTTTGATTTCGAAAAAACTAGCTAGAGTAAAATTATTTCAACATATTTACCTGCATAACTTCAGTCCCGCTTGGTGTATAGCTCTCAACAGCAATCTTAGTTGGGGACTGGTAAACAAGGAACCTGGGACTATTATCATTAGTGTCTTTTACAGTAACCACGCCTTCTGTCTCGGCTGTAACATCCGGGGAACTTCCATCAGAAAACTTGAAAGTTGCCCGGATAATCAACTTGAAGCTCTCCACAGTTTCGTAGTCAAGGCTCTTTGCTAAGGTAACTTTGCCGTTGGCCGAATTAATTTTAAAGGTGGTATCAAAATTGCCACCCACTATAGAGTATTCTAGAGTCCCAGCGTCTGAACCAGGGCGCGAGGCGCTGGCGGTGAACACGGTGGAGTCGTCCACGGGAGAGTCTTCGGGAAGAGACGCGCGGTAACCAGGGCTGCTAAATTCTACTGCAACAAACGGTGTACTGTGCACTGAGATTTTAAGAGGCACTTCGATCTCTTTTACTTTGTTGTTCCCTAGATACGAGACAAGGCAGAAGACAAAATGAGGATCTTTGGCCAGCTAGCATAAGTGATCACATAGTCTCGTTGATATGTAATGTCAGCCTTGCTTTGTTGATCATTGTTACTCCATTTCTATTGTTGGGTGATAAGATCTTTTACAGATCCTAAGTATACCGGTAGGATTTTTGTTGCGTTCCTTGCCACATTTGCATTTACTCTAAGAGTATTTTTATGAGAGTATAGGCTCACTAGCGCAGGAGTATAAACAGATAAGCAGCTTACTCAGACGCAATGAAATATTGAAAATAAAAAACTATAGGAAAATTTCCAAAAGAGGCCCTATTTAAAATACGGGGAAGGCACGTTACTGCGTCTGTGCCTGTGTGATACTAAAAACAAGCCTTAACCACTCCAAGGTGCTAAATTTGAGTGCTGTAAACAACCTTGCTGCATTTAGCGAGTGCAAAAGTATCCGAGATTTAAGATAGCAAGCTTTGTTACCTGTTTCTTTAGCCGTGACTTTCAAGTTGAAAATTCTGTTTTCAGGCAACGTGGTTGACGTGGTACTAACAATGCCTTGGCTGTTTATTTGAAATCTGGTAAAAAAGAAGAAATAAATAAAGAGGAAAGAGAAAACATTTTATGGATACTTCAGAGAAAATCTAAGTTCCTTCTAAGCTAATTTTCATCTCACGCGAAAGAACAGGAACTACAATTTAATATGATAACGTTTCATGGTAATTTACTCTAGGCCTCTTCCCTTCGGTATCTATGGCCCCAGTTATGATCACGGGTACCCAAGACAACTCTCCCCCCGAGGGAAGTTTAGCGAGCGTTTATAAGTGAAAACATAGTCCCTGTAGGCCGAGTCAAAGTTGACTCAGCATGATTATTCATAACCTTTTTCGAACAATCAAATGTGCAAATATCCCTCTTTCTTTGAGTTTCCCTCGGTTATTCGATCACGGTGGGTTTTGCCGAGTTAATTTTCACTTCTTTGACACGAATTTCTGCTTTAAATCCTAAATCTGGAAATAACGTGACTCTCGTCACGCCGAGAGTTGTCCCGCTTGCCAGAGTTACCCTACCTGCCGAGGCGGGACAACTCGTCCACCCGCGTTGTCTCGTCTCCCTAGACGGGTTCGCGATCCTAATGTAAACGGTTGGTTGAAGTTTGAAAAGAAATAAGCTTAAAGTTGTTAAGTGTTGTCTCGGGTATCCGAGACCATATAAACGGGGCCTATGTTTCTTTAAATTTCCAAGTTTCTTGTAAGCCCCCTAATTCCTAGGCTAATTGCTTTGCACGTTCTGAGAATTTGGCACCACATCAAGATAGTGGGGAGCTTAAGCATACCACGACGGCAACGGCAACGAGAGCATTGCCGAAAAAATTCTAAGTTTAATCGTTTAGTCGTCTCAATAACAAAATTGTCGATCGTACCCTCCGCTTATCTATTTGTCATGTAATCGGCGCGCGATCAAGTGGGTGTCCCATTACAGGTATTCAATTACAAAAAACGTTGTAATTGGATACGCCATTCGCACGTCAATTACCTACGCTCTTATGGCTTCCCTCTTAGTCTCTCTTACATTTTTTGAAACTTACGGACAGCGCTAGTAACTTTTTGGCTCAAAAGAAGTTCTGAAAAGACGTAATTTCGAAATTTGTCGTTGGGTAGGCTGGAGTGTGGTAGGTATTCCAATAACTTCGAACATTTCCGAAAATGTTCGCAAAAATTCCAAAAATGTTCGAAAGTCTTCGGCGAGCTTCGGGTGATCTTCGGCAGTCTCTAAGAAATCTTAGGAAGGGTTCGTCTGATTGTTGGAGGAGTTCAAAAATTTTCGTCCGAACTTCGTACTCCTTCGAAATTCCTCGGATTACCATCAATATCCATGAGTGTCTTCGTACTAACTTCGGATGTCTTCTTTGTAACTTGCACTGGTGTTTCAAATTTGCACTGATGTTACATGAAAACTGCACTTCTTTTTAGCCAATCAGAATCGAGAATTTTTTCAAGTGTATTGTTACTCCCTAAATTGTACGATAGGAGGTTCGATTGCTAATTTATCGTATCTATAAAAAGATTTCGAAATTAAAAAGGTATTTTCTTATGAATGAAAAAATCAGTTGCGCTTTGCATAAGTCTAAAAAATTGTAAAAAACATTAAAACGTGAGCCATTGAAGCGCTTAATTGACGTGCGAATGGCGTAGGTAACTAATGACAGGTGTCCAATTACAAAGAGATGTAATTGGATACCTGTAACTGGGCACTCACGTGATCGCGCGCCGATTATAGGCGCGCGGAGAACCAATCATGATCGAGAATTTAAGTTATAGGTACGATTACTCCCTGAACTGTACTCCACTCGATCCAGTTACTATTACTAATGTGCAGAACAATGGCTGTGCACGTGCGTTATAAATCTTCGTGCATTTCGTAGCCGTCTTCTGCAAAACAACAACGTGAAATGACCAAGTTCTGCGTAGTTTGGAGAACGTTAGCCACCTCGGCTTTTTTGTTTTTTTGACATATTTAGTTTAAGCAGGTTGTTAGACCTATCGGCGTACTGAAAAGATCTAGATAAGTCGAAGATAAACTGTGAATCCATTTTTACTAGGCATTGTCCTCGGCGTCGCCATCGCTTAAGCTCTCAAATATTGTGCTGTAGTTTATATTCTCCCTACAGCTAATTGGACTTAGAAAATAGATTTAGTCGTGGCTGATTAACATAAAATAGTCACACACCTTTCTTTAGGCAGAAGGTCATACACGAAGTCAGTTTTCCCTGGGTTATCCTTGTCGGTAGCTGTAACTTGTAACAGACTAGTACCCGAGGGAGTATCGCTGGCGACAGACACCCAATACGAGGATTGCGTGAACTCAGGAAGGTGGTCATCCGTATCTGTCACTTTGACTGTCACGCCAGCTGTACCGAATAGATTTCGCTGCAAGATGTTGGCCACGCGCACTTGGAATTTAAATTCTCGGGTGGAAATCTGAATGAAATTTTTAATCACTGCTAATTGGCATTCCCAGCCGACACGAGAGACTCGAAAGTGATCAAGTATGTCTGTTGTTTTGATATCATCCAAAGTACATTCAAAATCAGATGAAGATTTGTCTTCTTCGACAGAGAAGCGAAACGCTCCTTCGCCACCGCTGTCACCACTTGCAAGAAGTATGGTTCCCGAAGCCACGTTTTCCACTGTTGTAACGTCATAGTTCCTCTTCGTGAAGATTGGTGGTCCATCTTCATTTGTAATTAGTACTGTCACCGACGCAGGTGACGGTTTGGGAGAGCTTTCGTCTTTAGCTTCAACTTGAAATCTGTAGCCGCTTCTCTCGAGCTTGTAGTTGAACGATTTCTCCGCGGATAGCGTTCCTGTTGGTCAGAATGGATTTTGATCAGAATAGATTTTACTTCTAATGTATTTTAAGAGACCTTTTCATTATATTTTTAACATTGGCAACAATAGCGACCCTGTCCGCTTGTTTTTCTGGAGACCTGCGCATATTGTAACAGCATGGTTCCAAAAAAATGCCATTGTAGGATTAAAAAAACAAAAAGAAAATTTTACATTTTGACAATTTGGCCTCGTAATTTAAAGCGAGCGCCTCGGGAAAAGTATCGCAAGAAACAGTATAACTGAACTAAAAATTGAGAAAGAAACCTCTCTCTGAAAGCTACAGTTTCGTGAGATATGTGCTTACTTTTCGAGCTTTCCGTCGTTTACAAGGAGTCACACAGCGAACCTCCTCCTCTATTTTCAATGATATTGATTTTTTGGCGGATCCTCATGCAAGTGAACCAATTAAATCACGGGTTTATCTCCCCTAAGGTTTAAAACGCAACTGACACCTGCAGAGTTCTTTTCATTGAGCTAATAACTTTTTAATTAAAGTAAAAAACACCCTTCTTGTAAGCCAGAAATGAAATTATGTTTATACGAAAGTTAAATTAGCACAACTTAAACATTTCCTTTCGTCAAAAATCTTGGCAAATTATCTGGTTCTAATCACGAAATTTGATTCAAAATCCTCATTTACGATTCAGGAAAAAAAAATATTGTGTATACAGGACAAAGCACTGATTCATTTCAGATCAAAATAATTTGTGGTTTATGTAGAAAAACCAACTAGACGCAAGCTTAATTAATAAAGCGCCCTGAAACTATTTTTGAGTTATTCTTCCAATTTCGATGTCGTCTATAAAAATAAGATAAGACTGAATGTAGTATTTGCTCCTAATTTTCCAAATATTTTGACGGCTGCTCAATATACTTTCACAAATTCAAGATCTAATTTTTGTCGCAACCTCAAACTTTATATCCTAAATAAATTGCTCGTTATCTATTAGTAAAGACAATCTGCAGTCTCAAAATGAAATGCGCCGATATTGATATCACAATTAAAAACATAATGGCTGTTTTGTCGTGGTTGCTTAAGATCTAGAAAAGGTTATTTCTTTCTTGTTAAAGAATGTCACGATTCAATATGGCAACATGTCCTTCCTCATATTCAGACTGATTTAATTAATTGATCAGTGGAGATAAAATGCAGTGTAAGAATTACGAGTCTAATTGTAAGGATAAGTCTGGTTACACTGAAGAAGGGTTTGTCAAATGCTTGAATCCGATAAAATTGCGGCCTGAAAAAAAAGACCCAGAATTACAGTCCGATAAAACAAAAAGTTAAAAATAAACGCAGGAGGTGAATAATGGATCACTATATTTTTCTGGGAGGGAAGGGTTGCTGAAAAAAAA